AGAGAGAGAGAGAGAGAGAGAGAGAGAGAGAGAGAGAGAGAGAGAGAGAGAGAGAGAGCAAAAAACAACGAAAAATCCACCACTCGATATGCACACAATGCGTCACATCCTTTCATCATCATATGAATTTTTTTTATTCATTCGTGTTTTGGAAATTTCCGGCTTTAAACTATGTGATACATGTTTTTTATTCGGAAATTCGGACGTTTAAAAATAAAAATGAAAAGCAACCATACAGCCTCAGGATATGCATCGATCCACGTTGACGCCCGAGAAAAATATTCTGTGTCAGCGCATCATAAGAACCTCGGATGTTGAAAAATATGAAAAGAAAAGTCAGGGGAGGAATGAAGAAAGGAATATTCTAAATGAGAGACATTGCGCCTTTGTCTCGTTTCCGCTCATCTCCATGCACGCGCGCGCACAACCCCACGTCCAAAACCTCCATATACTTTGCATTTCACATATATATATATATATCTCACGTAATCGCACGGAAATTCTGCGCTTGAGACGACCTCCTCCAAATTTATGTCGCATTGTACTCAAATATTTTTTCAATGACACTCACAGTTCATCCCACTTCGTACTTTTATGTTTTTCATTTATAATGCTTTTCCTGTATGTTATTTTTTTTCCTTTCATCCCCGTTTTTCTCGTATTTTATTTCACTTGCAATCCGAAAATTCAGGCCGTCGCTGCATTGTTCTCCCCGTTCAATATCTTCCTTCCAGCATTTCTCAATCTCCCGCCTATCGTCAGTGTAAATACTCACCGAAAAAAAAGGATTATTAATACTGCGATTCTAATGCAGGGGAAAAAATTGTCAGCAGAAACTGCGAAAATGAAAAAGTGCAGATGGAAGAAAATAAGGAGGAATTAAAAATGGATGAAACGAGATAAGTGCCAATCGAAGTGGAATGCCGCAGTGGTTCATTGTTGATGACCATTATATACCTATCGCTCAGGAGAAAGGATAAATGCCTGTGCCCTCCCCCTCTGGAGGGGGAGAGAGAGAGAGATTGTATACAGTCATCGGACAAACTGATAAGCCGTTTAGCGCATCGTGAAGCTTCCGTGGTCGCACACAGTGCAAGCGTTATTGCGCGGAAGCCTGATAACATTTTACCACTAGCACTGTTGAGCCTCTATCATTCTCGTTTTGACCGGCCAACAAAACCAGTTAACCGAGGACAAAACGTGTTTGTAAAAGCCCATCCATTGGCTGTGCTCCACCGATGCCCTTCCTACGATGTAAATTCGATAATTACCCCCGTGCAAATTGACAATTCCTCGGGATTTTGCGAAAAGCCAGAGCTCAAATATTGGCTCAATAAGCTCCCCTCGGAAAGTTGAAGAGTCATAAAAGTTGCGGCATAGTATGACATCAATTGAAGAAAAAAAAAAAAAAAAAAAGAAGTAAATTTTCTCACATAGTTACTGAAAGAAGCGGACCGAGAGAATTGTTGGATACTCTCTGGGACCGCAACAGGTGCAGAGAGACCCAAGAGATGCCTGAGAGATACTCCAGGGGTAGATTTCGTTGTAAAAGGTACTCGGTGAAACTAGATAAAGCACAGTAGACGAAACGTTACTCTCTACCGCATTATAGCCCTACCCACTGTTGGAATACACTGAACTCTAACGAACTCGTTACATCTCTTTCTGTCTCACCAACACCACTGTATAATACAAAAGCTAACCCCGGGCGAATACGCTATAAATATCGTTGAACCCGGAACTCGGATAATTATCGAGTTCGCGCCTGTTCAACAGAATAGAAATTCCACGGAAATTTATAATTTCGTCTAGTCAGCAATAATACGTTTAGGGCAGGGCTGTGGACAGGACCACCGCCTCACTACCAACCACAAGCGCACACCAGATAGTGCTAATGCCAACTGAAGAATTATGACGCAACTGGAATACCTCGTACATCAAAGGCGTATTCTTATGTTACGTAGCTGAGGCATACTTGGGCGACCGTGATTTCTATGCGGGGTAACCCACCATTTGTGGATACCAGGGGCTAATTTACGAGCCAATTAATTCGTGCCAGACCGACCAACTACCCTGGGAATGTGCTCCCACACTCGATGGATAAGGGCCTGCCGGCGATGTGACATTATAAAGAGTCATAATGTTTCTCAACAATTTTGTGATGTACGTGACAGCGTTATTGGAGGGAATGTTGAAAGTTTATAAATAATAAAGAAATCATTCTCGTTCGTTGAATGACATTATTTTTCCTCTCTCGAGGATAGATACGAGCATAAAAGTGTCCGCGGAAGCGATGTGTGACACGAGCTGGACGAACATTATGGATGACATTGTCAACGGCAGAGGGTCGTATAGAGGAGAGGCAGACAGTGCCAGCGCTAGTGTCGGGGTGCAGAGTGCAGGAGACACCAAATAATTCATCCCTTCGTAACCCATCTTCCCTCCTCTCGCCGCGCTTCACCCCTAAATGGCTCGACGTTGAATTTTCACGTGTGCGGTATAGAGGGGTGAGAGGTGCCTTTCGACCTGCACACGACGATCAACGACGCCACCAAAATACCGGACAGATTCAACCTCTCACCTGAACATTTTCCATCTCGTGAATCCAACTAAATTCCCCTCGGATGAATTTTAATATTTTAATTATGAAGAGGGATTTAAAGAGCGGCAATTTTATTTTTATCATGAATTATCTATGGGAGTTGTGATTTAATTGGTACTCGAGAAGAATGAAGAAGAAAGGCTAAAAAGGATAAAAAGGTGGAGGATGGGGTTGGGCAATCGGAAACCGGAAGACGACCGATACCGGTGTGGCAAACAGCGATGATTATTAATCACTGGCAGGTCCCGCGTGCGACTGTCAGCGCCACTGACGGTGGCCCTCCGCATACACCATAGCCTACCAACCCTGACTAATCGTTTTGCCATTACGGATTAATATACCCCAGTGCGCCCACCTCCCCTCGGAATATTCGGCCTCAACGCTTTCCCCCCCCCCCTCTCATTTTTTTCCAACTTCATTTTTGCCGATTAATCTGTCCCACA